TTTTTTTTTTTTTTTTTTTTTTTTGGAGGCAATTGTTGTATATAGATCTTCTTTTTTTCATTTAATCAGTCAATGCAAAACACTTTTGCATGAGTGTTTTGTAACCTAGCTCATTCCCTCCGTAGGTTATGATTTCTTTCACATGGCTATTCTACGTGTCCTGAACAAATTTCTGTGTGCTGATTCTCCACTTTCTAGGATAGAGCAAACTTCAGGTATCAGTAAGAGACTTGAGAAATGGAGTATGTTCCTTTGTGCACTTCATTTCTCTCCGAGTATAAATGTAACCCGTAAATTAGTTTTCTCTTCCAATCGCAAATACCTAGAAGGCTTAAGCCAAATAAGTCTAATCCATGTCAACTGTCACACCCCTTTTTACTCCAAAAGATATGTATGTTATGAATTGTTATGGGTTAAAAGAGTTTTTCCATTTGAAGTGACAAATTTGAGTATGGATTATTTATTTACGGAATCGTCACTTGGAATTGATTTATTGGTGTTCTAAGTCACCTTTTATTTGAATCGCTGGTCAAAGGAAGGTTTGACTCTATTTTTAATGGTCCGTAAAAACAAAGTTCAGGTAAGGAATTCTGTTGACCGGGGAGAAGGTGTAAGGCATTCCCCGAATCCCGTGGTTCTAGCACGGTCGCTTTATCGGCTTAAACTTGGCTTGAATTAATTCTGGATAAACTGTGCTTTATTGGATTTTTATGTTTTGCATGTCTGCTTTTATTGACTGATTAATAGATTTATTAACGGATGTTTTGAATAATAAGATGTCTGTAACCATACTACGCAAGTGAATGCATGATCGAGACGAAATTAATTTTGTCATAACAGCGTTACGCAAGCGAATCTGTAGTCATGACAAGGATTATTAGCGTGTTATTATTTTTTGAAAAAATTACTACATTTGAGAAAATTAATTTTAAAAATTATTAAAAAGTCAACTATCGCGCTACGCAAGCGAATTCGCGATTATAATAAGGGGTTAATTTGATTAGGAATTAATTAAGCTACTAAGATTATTGAATTAATTTACTAAATATTAAGCATCACAATATGCAAGTGAGTATTATTTTAAAGAAATAGGCCATGATGGCATTGGACATCTTACAAATTGTTATAGAGAGAGAGACTAGCATTGTATAACTTTTGTCAAAATGGCATTGCGTAGTCATTTTTACGGATGGCTATCTAAAAATAGCCACCGTCGTGTAATTGATTTCTAGCCATTTTAACTTAAAATATATTAATAAATGACATATTTGCCCTTGTCCTTTTTACCATCATGTTTTATGTTTCATTTTTTAATCTTTTTCGCTTTCTTTTTAGAGCAGTGTACGGATTTCGCTTTCGTGAGAACTCTTTCTTTGAATTTAGTCTAGGTTAGGTCCAATTTTCTTCAAATTTGTCTGGGTAAGTATTGTTTTTACAATAATGTGCTTGAATTTTCGTTGTTATTATTGTTTCGTTAGTTTTAAGTTTGATTTCCGTACTGTTAGCGTTTAAATATTTATGGTATTTTAACATCTACGATTTTTTTTCTCTGTTCAATAGTTCGTCTTATTTCTGATAATTTTGTCACTCTGTTATTAGTTTTATGTTGTAATGTTGTAATCGTTGCGTAACTTGTTTTGATAAGTTGCTCGAGTTCTTGTTAAAACTTGAAATCCAGAAAAATGTGCTGGACTTCATATTTAAAAATTTGATTTTTTTGTAATAAATTTAGTTCCAGTATATTATTCTGTAAGTTTGACCTCTGAAGGCTTGTTGTCCAGTATTATATGCTGAATGAGTTTTATTATATACTGGAGTTCTTTTATTTTGAAAATACTTGTTTTTACTGATAATTTTTTGCTGTTTTTTTTTTTAATTTTTTTTTTACATGTTGTATTTGATTATGTTTTTAAAATTCTAGACCAGTATTTGTTTATCGAGTTTTATTTTTGTAATAAATTTTGGTGCAGTATATTATACGGAAAGTCTGTCTTCTGAAGGCTTGCTTCCCAGTATTTTATACTGGATGGTTTTTGTTTATGGAGTTTTTGTAATAAATTTTGTCCAGTATATTATACGGGAAGTCTGTCCTCTGAATGTTTGTTCTCCAGTATATTATACTGGATGATTATTATAATATACTTGAGTTTTGTTTGATTCCAGTATATTTTACGGGAAGTTTGATGTCTGTAAGCTTGTTATCTTGTATGTTATACTGGATCAGTTCTGTTTAGGCTACAGTTTTATTTTATTTATGATTACTTTTTTTGAATGATTATTTGTCTGTATTTTTTTAATAAGCTCTTTGATTATGTTTCTTCTTTATACCTCAGTATTTGTTTCTGGAGTTTTATTGTTTCTAATTAATTTGATCCAGTATATTGTACTTGAAGTCTGTCATTTGTAGGCTTTGTTGTCCAGTACGTTATACTGGATGAGTTCTGTTTATACTGTAGTTCTGTTTTATATACTGGATTCTGATTGTGTTTACTAATCTAATTTGTAATATGCTTTCCCGCCTTGCTCTTGGGGTGACTCGAACTCACAACTTCTTGGTTGGAAGTGGCGGTGCTTACAACTAGAGTAACCCACTCTTGTTAAAATGAGTGGTTTTTATCTTAAAATTATATGAAATATTGCTTATATTTGTTGTATTTTAATTTTAGGAGGGAGATAGATTTTATAACTTTAAGGAGTTGTTTTCTGCTGATTGTTATTGGAAAGGCGATAGAAATTTTAAGCAAATTATTTCATCCTTTTTGTCCGGAACTCAAATGGATATGTTGAAGAACAGTGTATTTGGGAAGTTTTTAGAGTTGGATGAAGTTAGTCACTCTAGGAAGTTGACTATGTTGCTGTCTCAACTTTTCTACAAGGATAAAAGCAAAATAATTTTTAAAGTTTTTGGGCATGATATAGCATTTACAGAAGAGGATTTCCACACTATTACTGGACTTACGATTGAGGCATTCGATTATAGTTTCGTTGACGTTAGAGAGAAGAGAGAATCGTTTGAAGGAAAGGTATTTCCCTGAAGTTAAAAGGGGTTTGTGTCACGACCCAAAATTTATTAAAGGTCGTGATGGCGCCGGATACCGCTGTCAGGCAAGCCCAAAGATAACTAATTAATTTGGTTCATTTTAATATTTTTGAAATCATATTTCTTCAATTAAAAAGTAAAAGATGGAATTTACAGAGTAAGTAATAATATTTTTAACAATTTCAATACAGACACCCATAATCACCCCCAAAATCCAGTGTCACAAGTGCATGAGCATCAACTAGGAATGTAAAATAAAATACAGCATCCGTCCGGAATACAATTGGACAGGAAAAATATAAATACTCTGAAGGAGACTCTGCTGGCTGCGGATCATAGTATAGAGTGCAGCTCACCTAAGTCCCCGCTATAACTGCGCCTCTGCGCCCACAAGACCACTAGACATATATGTACCTGCACAAAAATATGCAACAAGTATAGTATGAGTACGTAAATCAACGCGTACCCAGTAAGTATCCCGCCTAACCTCGAAGAAGTAGTGACGAGGGGTCGACTCCGACACTTACTATGGGCTATAAATAAAATATCAATGATATAATTTAGCATGGATTACGTAGAACGGTTGTAAGCTCAATATCATGACATAAGTAAACAATTCTTTTGTTAATAAGAAATTTTCAAATTTATTTTTCATCGTTTATCATTTTATATCTCAGGCCAATGAAGCAATATCAATTATCATAAATTCCAAAGCAAATAATTCAATCATGTGCAAATCATGCCGAGGTCGTACGACCCGATCCAACATAAATATTTAAACTATGCACTGCCGAGGGTCGAACGACACGAATCATAGATGCATCTATTTAATCTGCCGAGGCGTTCGGCCCGCTCCACAAAAAGATAAACACATTCAAACAACCAAATCAAGAATTTATTAAGGGGCAATTATTTAAGGAAATGCCAATTCTCATTTAACGGCCAAGAAAACGAATTTTATCCTCTTAAAATTCCTTTACCAAGTTCAATGTGATTTAAGCAATCAAATTAACAAGAAGGTTGCAAACATCGCAAGTATAGCATGATTTGGGTCCTAGACTACCCGGACTTAAGCATGATAGTAGCTACACACGGACTCTCGTCACCTCGTGTGTACGTAGCCCCCACAAATAGAAGCACATATTGAATTATTTCACCTATGGGGTTAATTCCTTCTTACAAGGTTAGAAAGGAGACTTACCTCGCTCCGAATTTCCATAGCCGACTCCCAAGCCTTCGAAACAACTTAAATCGATGCCCAACACTCCAAAAGTAGTCAATAAATGAGCAATTCCATAAATATATACTCTAATACTCATTATAATCCTATTTATAATAATTTTCAACTCCGTTCGAAAAGTCGATAAAAATCACCCTCGGGCCCACGTGTTCGGATTCCGAAAATTTTCGAAGACAAACTTTACCCATAACCCCACGAACTCAAATATATAATTTATTTTCAATTCCATGCCCAAATTTGTGGTCAAAATCCAAAAATACCAATTTCTAGGTTTTTCTTCCAAGTCCCAAATTTCTACCAATTTTCATGTCTAAATCCATTTATAAACCTTGTATTTAACTCACAACTTAGAAGAAATCACTTACCTCTTGATGATGATGGAACCCCCTCTCAAAATGCTCTAAAAAATCGCCCAAGTCCAAGTGAGAAATGAGGAAAATTGGCCAAGTCTCGGAATAAAAAGCCCTTGGCTCCAGTCGTAAATGTCGCATTTGCGATGTATTTGCGATAGGGGGTTCGCAAATGCGACCTTCGCAAATGCGAAGAAAGCATTGCAAATGCGACCCCTGACAGAGCTGGCCTTCATCGCAAATGCGATACAGAGTCAGGCTTCGCAAATGCGACCATATTGTCGCAGATGCGATCCATTCCCTCAGCAACCCAGGTTCGCAAATGCGAACACTGCCTCGCAAATGCGATGGTCGCATTTGCGACCAAAACATCGCAATTGCGATCATACCAGAACCAACAATCCAACTTCTTAACAAAACACACCGAAGCCACTCTGAAACTCATCCGAGCCCCCGGGGCTCCAAACCAAACACCCACACAAGTTTAAAAACATAACACGAACTTGTTCGAGGCCTCAAATCACATCAAACAACGTCGAATTCATGAATCACACTCAATTCAAGCTTAATGAACTTTAGAACTTCAAACTTCTACATTCGATGCCGAAACCTATCAAATCACGTCCGATTGACCTCAAATTTTGCACACAAGTCACATTTGACATTACGGACCTATTCCAACTTCCGAAATCAGAATCCGACCCCGATATCAAAAGGTCCACGTCCGGTCATACTTCTAAAAAACCTTCAAATTTTTAACTTTCGCCAAATGACTCGAAAATGACCTATGTACCTCCAAATCCACATCCGGACGCGCTCCCAATACCAGGATCAC